ACACACACACACACACACTCAGCATGTTTTCCAAGCTGCCTGGTTTGAGAACCACACTACTCAGTTGGCCACAATGAATCCATCTGTCTTAATTTCCATGCCATTTGTAGACTCCAATAAACTGTTGTTTTCTAATAGTCATATTTTTATTCAAGCAGCAGCCCAAGGAATATAATCACCAAGCTGATAAATATTTATATGCAGGTAAACATTGCAATGAGAAAAGTGTGCTCTGAGAAATATATTTTTAAGCAATTTTATCATTCTGCAATCATAGATTGAATTTACACAAGTTTAGATAATATCCCTGGTATACAGAGAATCTATGTAATCTCTTACCTTATGGGACCAGTAACTTATATGTGATTCATTATTGACCAAAATGTCTTATGTATTCAGAAACAACTTGTCATTTGTGGACAGACTCCTTTTATATTTTGCTATGCTGTAAACACAAGTATATGATAGATTGAAATATTGTTCATCTTTTGGTAGATACCATTTACATTTTCTTCTGCCATTTTGCATAACATTCAGTCTTCCACGACTGTTGAACTAAGCATTCCAGAGCATTGGCTCTAATTTTGGGAAATTATTCTAGGCAGAGGTCTATCTAACAAACATGCATTGCACATATATTTTGTTGTTAATGTCTGAAAGCAATGTTTCACCTGAACTCAGAATCCCAGAAGTGAATTAACCACATCCATAATTCATAACACATTCTTATCATTTATTTGTTGGCACATAAGTGTCAAGTAGCAAACTTTTGATATTGTATCTACATACCATATAATTTGATTTTATGTCTAGGACCTAAAAATTTCTACCTAACCAGATATGAAAGCATATGATATTATACTTAGTATACTCAGAAACACAACCTCTCAGAATTTTCTCAGTGTAGAAATCTGCATTGAAATGGTTTTGTATGAAGTGGTTAAATTAAAGAAGAGAATAATCTCAGCAATATTTTGTCATATGTAAAATAAACTAAGTAGGTACCTTGGTAATATTTGGTAAACAGTTTATAAATTAAGAGAAAGGTTCATCATAGTAAGGCCTAATTAAAATTCTAGGTGATATCAGCTGACCTTATGGACTGGTGAATAAGATGGATGGATTTCACATAACTCGGTGTAATTCAAATCACAAACCTAGAAACTTCAGAAACATGTTGAGCACACGTGTGTGCAATGCCCAAAATCCCTAAAGGAGGGAGAGATAAAGAAACAACTGACATGACCAATCTCTATGGAGGCTGTTTCCTCCTCTCTCTACCTCTTTCCATCAAGTGCACATGAAATTTAGCAAAAAACAAGTCTAGGTAATACCAACATGATGGAAATTGGGAGGATAGTAAAGAAAATTCACTAAGTGATGGAGGTTTCTTAGAGATGCAGATAAATGTTGACATCTTTTTAAAATAACTGATCATGTATGTAATTATGACTAGTGATTCTTTTTTCCACTCAGACTCCTGAATCTCTGTGTAGCCATAGCTGTAGTCCAGGATTTCAGAAAATTCCCCAAGAAGGAAGACCTGCTTGCTGCTTCATTTGTGTTTCTTGCACTGAGAGGGACATTTCAAATCTAACAGGTATAAAATATGAATGTACCTTATGAAAAATCTATTCTGTAACAATTTCTCAATGAAAAGAAACCAATGATGTTGTAAATAAACTATTGAGCACCATTATTCTTAATTCACATGTTTACTTACTGTTTTAATATATTTATTTTAATTCACTTATTCTTTTTTTAATTTTATTTTTGGAGAGGTTTTTGCCATAGGGCGCATGCATTCACCAGCCAGACAGAGAGACAGAAAGCAAGAAATCACTCCCCAGGGGGGATGGTCATGCCGCAATTCCTTCTCCTCCATTCTCCTCTCGGGATCTTGAGCATGCACGCACACACGCCCGGCGTGAGTTTTATGCCACTGGGTCCAGGATGCGAACCGTGGTCTACTATGTGGGAGTCCAGCAACATAGCCATTACACTAACTGCTGGTTCCCTTTAATTCATTTATTCTTTTAGGGAGAAATTATTGCTATAGGATGTGGGTGTGTGCACTCGCCAGAGATACAGAAAGAGATAGAAAGAGGGAACCAGCAGTTAGCGTAATGGCTATGTCGCTGGATTCCCACGTAGCCGACTGTGGTTCGCATCCCAGACCCAGTGGCTTAGAACTCACGCAGGGCGCGTGTGCGTGCATGCCCAAGATCCCAAGAGGAGAATGGAGGAGAAAGGATTGCGGCGTGACCATCCCCTCTGGGGGGGGATTTCTTGCTTTCTGTCTCTATGTCTCTCTCTGTCTGGCGAGTGCACGCGCCCTATAGCGAAAAAAACCTCTCTCAAAAAAAAAAAAAAAAAGAGAGAGATAGAAAGTGAGTGAGAAATCACCACTAGGGGGAGGGGGATGACCATGCTACATTCCCTTTTTAATTCTTCTCTTGGGATTTTGGACATGCACACACATGTTGGCATGAATCTCAAGCCACCTAGTCTGAGACTCAAACTGCAGTCAGCCATGTGGGAATCCAGTGCCTTCCATCATGCATCAGCTCTTTTCTGAATGTGTTTATCCTATCAGTCTCAACTCTGAAATTGATTTCAATGGACAACCTTCTTTGTAATCCATTGCTGGGTAAGACACTGTAGATCTTAGATATCATACAAGAACATACTAACCACTACACAGAAAATTGTAGAATCATCAAGGCTAGCCGTTGGTGCTTTCAAATAGCACAGAATATGCCCACATGATAAACACAAGCAAGTACAGATAAATTATTATAAAATATTATAACTTTTCAGTCATGCTCCAAAGATTGTGCAATGTATTAAGTACACAAAATTAACTAATATCAGAATGCTACACTTTCAAATATTACAGTAAGGACAATACATATATTTAAAAACTGAACACACACACGAAAACTGAACACGCAATATTTCAATAAATTTCAAAATATACATATAAAAAAGCTATTATAAAAAGTATAAATTTAAAAATTATATACTGAAATAAAAGTGTGTATTATTAGATATGAGTTGTGAAAATATTTATTAAACTATTCCTTTTACTAAAATATAAAAATAAATGTTAAAATAATTTGAATTTTCCCTTAGTCTTGTGCAGGTCCAGTCATTGTAACATTGTAAATCTTTTTTTTCTTTTGTTTCTTTTGCATTCTGTATGCCATTAAAGCATACAAAATGAATTTCCATTCAGAATACTACTCAGCCATAAATAATTTTGGTTTTAGTTATTAGTAAGATCAGACTACTTCATGTAATAATGAGCCAAGAAAAATATTCCTTATCTCCTATGAAATATTTGCAACACCTAATAAATGCATAAAACAAGAAATAAAAATTTAAAAATATGAGATGTTTGATCTAAACTAAAAATTTACCCATGTTGTGTGTCCCAAGCCTTTCTCTGAAACAGAAGTCAGGAACATCTATAAATAGATATGAACAATTCCAGAAAATAATGTAATAGACTATCACTTTTTATCTTTTTAATAAAATGATATTATTACATCAGAATTACCTAAAAAACTAGTATCTTAAGAAAGAAGTAGCAGGACCAGCAGTTGGCATAATGGCTATGTTGCTGGACTTCCATGTAGTCGACCACATTTCGAGTCCTGGCCCCAGTGGCTTAACCGCACACCAGGCATGTGTATGTGCATGCCCAAGATCCCAAGAGGAAAATGGAGAAGGGATTGAGGCATGGCCATCCCCTTGCTGGTGGGATGTGATTTCTTGCTCTCTGTCTCTCTGTCTTTCTGGTGAGTGCATGTGCCCCATAGCAAAAACCTCTCAAAAAAAAAAAATAGAAAAACTATAATCTCGTTCTTCTTTTCAATTTATTTTAATTTCTTTTATACATTCAACAATATAGGTCACATAACTTGTAAAATGAAGCAACCATCTACTTTTGTAAATAATTTTTTTTGAAAGGTGTTTGCTACAGGGCATGTGTGCTTGCTAGAGAGACAGAGAGACAGGAAGCAAGAAGTCAGCCCCCCAGGGGGGATGGCCATGCTGCAGTCCCATCTCCTCCATTCTCCTCTTGGGATCTTGGGCACGCACCCACATAACGCCCAGTGTGAGTTTAAGGCACAAGGTCGGGGACTCAAACCGCGATCAACTACATGGGAGTTCAGCGACATAGCCATTACGTTAACTGCTGGTCCCAGGAAAATTTAATTGAAACATAGACATGCACATTAATTTTCATCACTACTCTACTACGATCTAACAGTAGAGGTGAGTAGTTGCAGCAAAGACTTTATAATGTACAATGGTAAAAATATTTATTACCTACCACATACAAAAAGGATGAGAAAATCTTGCATTCAGGTGTAAAAAGATGAAAATTTCAAAAATTACACATCATTCTTCTACCAGTTTCTCAAAAAAAAAAAAAAGACAAATATATACAAGCAATGGAACTTCATTCAAAATCCAAATGTTTTAATTCAACAAACTGCTTTCCATATTTACATGGGACAGATATAGATTAAATCTACATCCTTGATTACATGGTTGAACCACAAGATGGATCCTCCAAGATTCTTAAATGCTGAGTTACAGTTTAATAGGTTTGTTTTACCTAAGCTGAAAAAATTCTTCTGAGGTCATTAATGTAGATCCTTAATTTGGTGATTTTTGGCTTTACATCAAAGGGTCTATAGTCAAAATAACATAAAGGTATTCATTTATTTCAACATGACAATGATTTTTTTAAAAATGCTAAACGGGAATACTGGGTCTTGGTTTTTTCACCAGATGCAGAACACTGTTTCCAGTGTGCAGCTCAAGAGTACCCAAATGATGAGAGAACTCACTGCCTTCCCAAGCCTGTGACTTACTTGGATTTCAAGGATGCTTTGGGGTTGTCCATGACCTGCACTGCATTGTGGTTTACCGTGGTAACAGCTGTGGTTTTGGGGGTCTTTGTAAAACACAGAGACACTCCCATAGTCAAGGCCAATAACCAGACTCTCAGTTTCATCCTGCTCATCTCCCTCCTCCTATGCTTTCTCTGCTCCTTGCTCTTCATTGGACATCCTAACACAGTCACCTGTATCCTCCAACAAGTCACATTTGGACTTGTATTTACTGTGGCAGTTTCCACTGTTCTGGCCAAAACCATTATCGTGGTTCTGGCATTCAAGGTCATGAAGCCTGGAAGAACAATGAGGTACTTGCTGCTATCAGGGGCTTCTAACTCTGTCATTCCCATCTGCTTCCTGATTCAACTCATAATCTGTGGCATCTGGCTGGGAACTTCTCCTCCTTTTGTTGACACAGATTCACACTCTGAGCCCAGAAACCTCATCATCATGTGTAACAAGGGCTCATTAATTGCCTTTTACTGTGTCTTGGGATACCTAGGCTTATTGGCTCTAGGGAGTTTCACTTTGGCTTTCCTGGCCAGGAATCTGCCTGACACATTCAATGAAGCCAAGTTCCTCACATTCAGCATGCTGGTGTTCTGCAGTGTCTGGGTCACCTTCCTCCCTGTTTACCAGAGCACCAAGGGGAAGTTCATGGTGGCTGTGGAGGTTTTCTCCATCTTGTCCTCTAGTGCAGGGCTCCTGTGCTGCATCTTTGCCCCTAAGTGCTACATTATCCTAATAAGACCTGATAAAAACTGTTTGAAAGGTTTAAAAAACAAAGGAGGTTCTAGAAGAAACAGGCATCCCAAGGTTTTATTACATAAGTCTGTATAATATTTTTAGAATTTTGAACCAAAAAAAGCATATTGGTTCTATAGTCTAATGCTATTAAGTAGTTGAAAATTATTTACATTTTAATATTCACTTTCTTTTTCTTTTTAAAACAGTAATTACATGAAATTAATTTTAGCACTGCAAATAAGAATGCAATTTTATATTAATGACTATTTCAGACACTAAGGATATTGATTAACTGCTAAATTTTATCTGTTATTCATTACTTATTAGTCATTGTGTTCTCCTACAATCGTTTTACTTTGTTATGGTCAGTAATTAATATTTTACTTCTGTATCTGATATATCAATTTGTGTCTTCTCTGTTTTCTAGGGTCCTATTTAAAGTTTTATTTGTTTGTTGATCTTGTTAAAGAATCAGCTAATGGTTACATTAATGTTCTTTGTGGGTTTTGTATCTTTTAGTTATATTCATTCTAATCTTATTATCTTTGTTGTATTTGTTTTTAGTTTACTTTGTCCCTTTTAATTCCATAATGTGTTAAGTAATATTGATTTGATATATTTTATCATTTTTTAAAAACCTGCAAAACACTTAAATATCTCTATAACAAAGTTCTGCAGCATCTCCAAAATTTTGGCTTGCTATGATTCCAATTTTGATTGTCTCAATATTTTTGTTAGTAGAAAATGTAAAGTAAGAAAATACAGAGTATGTAAAAAGCCTTTTTGTTTAATATAATTACATAAATTATCTTTTAAAAATCATTGACAGTAGTCACTTCATCCATTCTCAGTGGTACAGGTACTATAGGCACTGCTGCACAATTTTGAAAGCCTTGCATCCAGGATCTACCATACATTATTCTGATAAGACCTGATAAAAACTGCCTAAAAGTTTTAAAAATCAAAGGAGGTTCTAGAGGAAACAGGCATCCCAAGGTTTTATTACATAAGTCTGTATCATATTTTTAGAATTTTGAGCCAAAAAAAAATCTTGGTTCTATATTCTAATGCTATTAAGTAGTTGAAAATTATTTACCTTTTAATATTCACTTTCTTTTTAAAACACTAATTACATGAAATTAATCTTGACCCATTTTAACACTGCAAACAGGAATGCTATTTCACATTAATGACTATTTCAGACACTGGATATTGATTAATTGCTAAATTATTTCTGTTATTCTTTACTTATTAGTCATTGTGTTCTCCTACAATCGTTTTACTTTGTTATGGTCAGTAATTAATATTTTACTTCTGTATCTGATATATCAATTTGTGTCTTCTCTGTTTTCTAGGGTCCTATTTAAAGTTTTATTTGTTTGTTGATCTTGTTAAAGAATCAGCTAATGGTTACATTAATGTTCTTTGTGGGTTTTGTATCTTTTAGTTATATTCATTCTAATCTTATTATCTTTGTTGTATTTGTTTTTAGTTTACTTTGTCCCTTTTAATTCCATAATGTGTTAAGTAATATTGATTTGATATATTTTATCATTTTTTAAAAACCTGCAAAACACTTAAATATCTCTATAACAAAGTTCTGCAGCATCTCAAAAATTTTGGCTTGCTATGATTCCAATTTTGATGGTCTCAATATTTTTGTTAGTAGAAAATGTATTTTTAAGCAAATATGGAGTATGTAAAAAGTCTTTTTGCATAATATAATTACATAATTTATCTTTTTAAAATCATTGACAGTAGCCACCTCATCCATTCTCAGTGGTACAGGTACTATAGGCACTGCTGCACAATTCTGAAAGCCTTGCCTCCAGAATCTACCTGAGCTTGGTTGATGTATTCAGAGCCTGACTGGCTACATGACTGGCAGAGAATTGCAGTGAGCTAACTCAATATAATTCCAATCTCTCCATTGTAAAAATATAAATAATTTTAAAAGCAATTGGTACTTAATAGGTACACAGTTGTAATGTATTTTTACATGTTTATTTCCCCTATGGGATCTATTCATCTTTACATAAAGATAATTTTTTAATTTCAATTTTTTTAACATTGAATTACTGTGTATCATTACAGCATATCAAATGACATTTCCCATTATAAATACACTGTGTATTGGTTCAGCCAAAGATATTACCATAGAGATTATAATCTACAGATTTGTTTCCATTTTGTGTCCCTTAAATGTATTGGTTCTTTCTTCTTCCCCTTGATTTTTCCTTCTTACTTTTCACCATTTCCATCCCTGCTTATGCACTGTCACCAGCATCATCATTGCTCTCTAAGCTTTTATACCTTCCAATATTTCAGTTTCAGCCATAGAATGCAGACATTCAGTATATATTGAGTGGGGACATACAATGCCTTCCTTTCATAGTGTAGCTTGCTTCGTTTAGCAGTAAGTCTCCCATAGTCATCCAATTTTTATAAAATGTCAGGGTTTTATTGTTTTATATGACTGGGCAGTATTGTGCAATGTATATGTTCCTTATTTTTTTTTTCAATCAACTCATCTGTTTGTGCACATTTGGGTTGGTTCCATGTCTTAGAACTTGTGAGTAATGCAGCAGTAAACATGGATGTCCAAGAGTTTTTCTGAGTGATCATTTTCCTATTTTTTGAATAGATACCCAAGAGTGGATCATACGGTAGCTATATTTGTAGGTCTTTGAGAAAACTCCATATTTTTCTCCACAGTGACAGTAATGATTTACATTTCCACCAGTGTAGATTTCCCTTTTCACCAGTTTTACCAGCACTTACCATTCCTTACTTTTTAAATCTTAATCATTCTGACTCATGTTAGGTGGAATTTCAACGTGGTTTCAATTTGCATCTCCCTCGTGATAATAGATGTTACATATATTTTTTATTTGTCTTTTGGTCATTCATATGTCTTCCTTAGGAAGTAATCTGTTCATTTTATTTGTCCATCTTTTAATTGGGTAGATCATTTTTTCTTTGGGAGAGGGTAAGCCACTTGAGTTACCTGTATATTCTGGTTATCAGTCCTGTATCTGAGGCACAGATTGCAAATTTACTCTCCAATTTGGAGGATTGTAGATTCACCCTAATTATTGCTTCTTTTGCTGTGAAGAAGCCTTTTAATCTGATGTAATCCCACTTGTCTGTTCTTGGGATTATTGCATGTGGTTTGGGGACCTTAATAAATCTTATGATCAGCAGATGGCATAATGGTTATGTTGCTGGACTCCAACATAGTCAACTGAGGTCCAAGTCCCAGATCCGGTGGCTTAAAACACATGCCAGACGAGTCAGCCTGTGTGGAGCTCTTCAGCACCCAGTTCCTTTGGTCCCATCACTACCTGTAGACCCTGCTGTGGGCTCAGATTTTGCTGGAAAAATGTTTGATGAGTTTTCATTAGCAGACACATTACCAGAACATTCTGCTGCCGAAACCTCTGCTGTGAGCAATACAAAACCTGGCCAACCTCCTCAAGGCTGGCCAGGTTCCAACCCTTGGAATAACCCAAGTGCTCCACCTTCTGTGCCATTTGGACTCCCACCAAGTGCAACACCCTCCAGTGTGCCTTTTGGACCAGCACCAACAGGAATGTATTCATCTGTGCCTCCCACTGGACCACTTCCGGGACTCCCAGTGCCCTCTCCTCCTCTGGATCATCATATCCCCCACCTGGTGGTCCTTATCAAGCCCCAGCTATGCCAGGCCCTGGCCCTGTAGGTCCATATCCTACACAAAATATGCCCTTTCTAGAGCTCCCTCGACCATATGGTGCACCCACAGATCCAGCAGCACCTGGTCCTTTAGGTCCATGTCTTCTGAACCTTGGGCACCAGGAATGGGAGGGCAGTATCCTAACCCTAATATGCTGTATCCATCTCTAGGGCCATATCCTGCTCCTCTTCCTCCCTAAGCACCAGGGGAAGCACCATCTGTTTCATGGGGCACTGTTCCACTGGGAGCCTGGAGGTGACCGGCATCATATCCTGCCCCTGCAGGATCATATGCCACACCAGGACTCTGTCTTCCTCCCATAATCCTTTTCAAGTGCCTTCTGGACCTTCTGGTGCTCCACCAATGTCTGGTGGCCCACATTCTTATTATGAAGTTAACAATGGGTGAAGAGATTACGCTTTGCTTTTTAAAGTACATATACATGCACATGAATGCATATAAAAATGTTGGTCTCACTATCCTTAAAGGGCATTTATGAAAGAACAACTCTTGCGCCTCTCAGAAGATATCTCTTGTAATTGGATGTGTAGCTCATCAGACGGATACAATCAGACAAAAATGTAGAAGTAAATAATGCAGGTATAATTTTTATTTGGTTTTCATGTGAAGTTAAAGTAGTTAAGTGTGTTGAATAACTCGTTAATACCATTTGTTTGAATCATGAAACAACACTTACAAATCTAAGGTGATGTGGATTGTCAGAATCTACAACTTCTTTGGCAAATTTTCTGAAGTATTTTTCTATAATTTTCCTCTTAAGTAAACTTTGTATACAATCACATTATAATCTAAACACATAATGCCTCTTAATATTTTGAGCTGCCTTTTTTTTTTTTTTTTTGTGGAGAGATTTTTGCTATAGGGCACATGCGCTCGCCAGAAAGACAGAGAGAGACAAAGAGACAGAAAGCCACAAATCACCCACCAGGGGGAATGGCCAGGCCGCAATCCCTCCTCCTCCATTCTCCTCTCAGGATTTTGGTGCTGACCCAGCATGATTTTAAACCACCGGGTAAGGGACTCAAACTGTGGTTAGCTACATGCGAGTTCAGAGACATAGACATTATGCTAACTGCTGGTCCCAATATTTTGAGCTGTTTTATATGTAGAATAAATAAATCTGGCCTTCTTGGGGTTATATTTTGAATATAAACTTGAAAGCTGTCAGTAATTATCATCACATGTAGAGTTCATTAGCCAGCCAGTGTTCATTTTTTTCCTTGAACTTTTAGTGAAATTGTTTCTGATTTGTTCTATTTTTAGCCATATGGGTCATGCAGCACTAAAATCTGATATTTATGGAAAAACTTATTTACTCCAGGCCAAAATGTGTATAAATGCTATCCTCAGAGAATTG